TAATTGTATATTCAAACATTATCTGCAAAGAGGATAGATTTCATGAAAAAATGTTCTTAATATAATACACTAGAGATCACTCGCGCGTACCTCACACTCATGCTAAATTGTATAACAAAGATGGTACGAGCTGTTTGACATGAGGGAGCAATGTGCTATATACTCTGACCAAGACCAAAGTCTTGGTCAGAGTATATAGCACCACGATGATACGGAAATGTACGAGACTGTACTCTCACGAGGGCATCGTTGGTTTATCTTGTCGAGGATATGGTCTTGCATCCTCTTGAGAGGAAAAGTTCCAGAAAATCGAAAAAGTATCGAGCAGAATGTCGTCGCAGGACGTGGTGCTCGAAACGTAGTATCTAGCTGCTCTATTTTCAGCAGCTAATAGGTTATAATAGGTTGGCCCACTTCTTTTGGTTACTGGCCCATTTTGTTCCATGTCTGTTTTCGTACTTTTAAGCATCGATTCAACACATGCCACTACAGCGGTATTGCTGGTCAAAGGAATATCTAACCGGCGAAAGTGTCTTCTAAATCTGAGAAGTTAAGAAATCATTTGAAAAGAAGACACTTTTGCAATTTTTATTCGTATGGACACGAAGACCTCATCGTTGGATTGGCGTTAGCCCCACCAAGGTTTCTAAGGACACACTTAGCTACCAGAAGACAGCTCATGCAAGCCGTGGTGATGTGATTCGAGCACAACACACGAAAGGATATTTCTACGACCAGGTGAGGCTGGATGAAAATTCGAAACCGTGTTGAATTCTCTTCAAATGTGCTTGAGATACTAATTTTTTTCGCTTTTTTGAAAAGTTTCAAAGACTAGAATGAGAAGGTGTACTTAGACTTCACACATTCAGGTCAAAATCTTTTCATCGGATAACGTAAATGAAGTCAACGTTTTGGAAAAAGGCATAATCTCGATCCCTTTCATTAAATTCATGTATTGGGTAACGAAAAAACAACTCGCACATCGATCAAGTGGGTCACCCAATGGAATCATTGGGTGGTAGAACATCAAACTAATGCGATATTAAACTTGTCAACTATGGATGTACCACTGACAAGATCTTGACTAAGACTGACCGGAGGATCTCCAGGTAAACCGAATTGCACAACACCACAATGGATCTCGTGGAATTCTGCATGCAATGACGGATATTGACATTCCAAAGGTCAAGTACGGGTTGTTATTGTGTCTGGATTGACTACATCGTAATAAACGTGTCCTGCTTTCGTATATCGTTATGACCATTTGACTTTTCCGTTTTATAATCTATCATAAATTTTCAACACATTCTATGTACTTTGAGGAGTTATGAGATGCTTTATGATATGTTCAGGTGATGTGGTACAGACAAAAACACTGTTCTTTGATATCGCAAACATCGTCAGCCATTTCAAGTCGTGCGAGTTGAAATCATGACATACGGGATTGAATCCCTTTGCTCAATGATGCCGCACAGCATGATATGCCAGTCTTAAGCGTGTTACCTTGATTAAGCCTGCGAGCTGGAAAGGAAAGAATTGAACTCTGTAATACAGTTTCATGTTGTAAATTGCTGAACTGAAAACTTCTTCCACCCCCGATTACAGTACCTGAGAAGGACAATAAAAGGGTGATTATACTCACGCCAATTCGGAATTCTCTCGGGAATTCTGGTTAAATATTGCAAATATCTTCGTGATTGGTGACAACTGGGACCTCCCACTTCGTAGTTCCACGAGCCGATAGCTTTTCGACCTTCCCCAGTCTGCAGCTTTGGACTCCTATCGGTGCTGGGACCCAAACTTTGGACAGTGGTATCAAGAGCTCGCTGAAGAAGACAAGATAGATGTTTGTTGTCTCTAGATAATAGGCAAGGGTCCAGGACCGTGCTCCGTGGGACCTACTGTAACTCTTATCCGGCACAGCGAACCATGATGGCGGATCGTGCCACCAGGTCCATCTCTGTGACGAATTAATGTCATTAATTTCAGGACCTGGGGAAAGCTCGCAACGATGTTCCTGGGGCTTCTCGTCCAGTATCCCAGGAGGAATTTTATTACAAATGTCGGCCGCATCTCCCCCTCAATCAATTAATCTCAGGATTTGTAGTGGTCAGTAGAGCGATGACTATGCTTCAACTGATCACACTGTGGCAAAGGCATCAAAACTCCTGAAATTGAAAGCGCCGACGTGAAGGTGTCGATAAACTTGTGTCTCAATTACAGCTTGCAGATCTCGAGAATCAGCATAGTGCTGTCACCTTATGACTTCCATCACCTGATATTGTCTTGGATTCGGTAGTCGCCGTTAGACACGAACACGTCGAGACAGACATGCACGCCGCCGAGTCCATAGTGATAAGTTTTTTCTTTATTCATGACGCATCTGTGTAGATGCTGTTAACATGCATATAACCCAAACTAGATTAAAAGAATGCTGCACAAAATATTCTCAAATCCGAGTTCACGTAATAGCCAGCTGCCACGGTCTATACGAGTTTCTCAGTGTCACGTCAAGTCCCACGGCACCTGACGTGAATTCATTCCGTGAGCACAAGGTCTATCATCCAATTTGATGGCAGAAAATATAATTCTAATAAGAGAACTACGATTATGTCTGTACAACGAAAGAATCAAGAATCGAAATAGAATAACATTTTGAGCATCGCTGGAAATTTCCTATAATACTTGTAGAGTCTTCACGTCTCCTTATTTGAAAGAAAAAAGACCCTCATTACAATTTTTAAAAAAAGCAATAATGAAATTTGAGGCTTGCTTGAGAATCGCATATTTTAATCACATTGATCGTATATAATTCTGTTGAAATGGCAACAGGTTCTACGATGGAAAGTTTTGACCTTCAGATTGTTTCAGCCCGTTTTTTGGAAGACCGTCCTGCTCTTCGCTGTATTTTCTCTGTTAGATATAGCTCTTGGTTAAATAATCGGGAAGGATGGAAATGCGAGTACGCCCGATCTCTTTGAAAGAAGCGGTATATCGGGACTGCAATCTCGCTGCTTCTTTCAGTGACGATGAATTCTTTGACACTCGTGCTCATGTTCACGTGCATTTCTCTTTGTCTTCAGCTTCAATCTTCTTCCAACATCAGGAACGTGTCATCTCTCTCTCCATGCAATCTCGCAGTTCTTTCTTTCGATTCTCCCCTCAGTATGACCAGAAGTTAAACGTGATTACGGCATTGACTGCTCATGCATGCTCTAAACAAACACGATAAAAAAGGTTTCGTGGTTCACACGTTACCTCCTTTCCTATCGCAGCCTTTGGCTTCACAAACACAAGATGACCTACCCATTTACAGGATTTTCTAGGAAGACACTAGCGCTTCGCTTCGCTTCCCTGCGTCACATCCGTCTTTCTTCGAGGCCTCTTATGTTGATCGTTGTGATGGCTGGAGCGACATTGCAAAGAAAACTGATTTCACTGGGTGTAAATTCGTGGCGACGGCAGAGAGACCCCAAATCCGATCTGACAATGTATATGAGACAGCAGCGGTCAACATCCAGCCCCAGTTCTTCAAGGCTGACCGAGAGTCTAATTAGAATTGACGAATGGCACGCGCATGTAGACTATATTTTGTTGAAGGTCCTAAGATCTTCGGTATCGCGGTAATTGATCGACTTTCTAGATAATTCAGGTCCCCGAGATAGGAAAGAAGGATGTACTCCTGGATTCTTTTATGAAGGAGGGTTCAAGGTCCATGGAACATCTCAGATGTACAAACAGGATAGAATAAGAGCACATTGCATCTGAACCATCATAAATTAGAAACCTGCTACGGCACGCGTGAGGTAGAGTGCTGAATGAACGGAAAAACTTTTAAAAATGACAATTGTTTCACACTCCTGCCTGTTTTAGCCTGGTTGACCCTGAGCAGATTCCAGATTTCAACAGGTGGCAAGGACCTTGTTGCTAGAACTGGACCTCTCTATGCTTGTTAAGATGTAATTTTCATCCTAGAATCGATATGAATGTACCAGATTAATGTCGGACCTCCTGTCAATTATGTCAACAAATCGCTTTGACGTCATCGCCTCACAACAATATTAAAAGTATGCGAGTGTCATCGTCGAGACGAGCACTCTGCTTAAAATCACGGTAATCCTATACTGGAATCTGCTGACTATGAACCAAGGTAAATTGTGCGTACATCTGCACATTACCTCCTTTACTATCATAGACAGAACTACCGCCAGGCACTATCCTCCCAAACGTCCTGACAATATCTCGAGGTTTCTAGAACTAAAATAACTGGATAGGTGAGTCTCTGACCGAGAGGGAATATAAGGTTTCTGAATGAAAGCCTAACACAATGTGTAGCTGTGTAGCTTCCAAAGTTGCATGTTCAATTGGAGTTTTCTGGAGGGTTGAATCTATTCTAGTATGACCGCAATATTTAAATATGTGGAAGTGCTTGCCATGTTTTTGAGGTCGTTGGTGCTTTAAATAGAGTTTTTGTGAACTTCCTATTCATGCCAAGCATGCAACAACTTGGAATCTATAAATTCCTGTCACTCACGACATGGATTCACGCATGCAAGCTCCTCATGGACAACTCAGACACCAAAGCTGCTGACACGATTTCCAGCTACGTTATGTCCAACAAAATTTGACGAAATTTGCCTAATTAGAGTGAAATTACAGGATATGACTGATGCATCTTCTAGCCAGAAATATGTAAACTCAAGCCAAGTGTAACATCAGAAGCACTCAAATAAGACTCCAAGCTGGGCCACAACCATTGGACGGAGCATAAACACCCTCTGGAACAAGTAAATTCAAGTTTATTCTTCTATAAATGTTTACATTCACATGATGTATGAATCTGAACAAAAATAAACCAGCCCCTTGATCGGGGAGGCAGAAGTAGAACTGTCTATTCTAAGAACGTATGTTGGAATGTGAACACATCCCTACGTATAGGTGTTACGAGAACCTTTGAAAAACATTTAGAGGGCTGTCCCATATACTTTCAGCCTTGGATGAATTCAGGTCGCGAAAGCTGAATTTCATGCCAAGTGTCGATACATCAGTCAACATTGTTTCCACTCCAGGCTTCAGAACGCACGGACTGAAAAGAATTCCTCCTCGTCAGGTTTCAGACAGTGTTCACTCGTCGTCCTGGCTGGCCAACAGCCAAGAAGGCACCTTGTCTTCGTTGCTGTAATCAACAACAACGGTCTGAAAAGAGCCACAAAGACAAAGAGAAAAAGATCAGGTACGTCATAAGAGCAGCTGTTTTCAATCATTACTGATTAAGCTTACTATGCCGCTGTGAGGAATGAAGCATTGAAAGCACAAGTTATATTCACAGAGAGAATCGTACCGAGTCGCCGTCCATCTTTGGTTGAAACTTGAATTTCAGGAGCCTCAAGTGGGGGGAAATCTCCGACCTCCGGCTTTCGAGAAAGATCACTCTTCTTCTGTGATCTGCAAGTGAGCTTGAAACCGATAGGACGGATTTGAAACTCAAAGGTATGAGGTCTAGCTCAGGTGAACGAAGAGCCTCAAGTGGGGAGAATCTCCGACCTCCGGCTTTCGAGAAAGATCAGTATTCTTCTGGGATCTGCAAATGAGCTTTAAACCGATGGGACGGATTTGAAACTCAAAGGTATGAAGTCTAGCTCAGGTGAACGAAGGGCAGCTCCCTTGGATGTTAATGTCAGCACACGGAGTCGCAACTCAAGCTGGACTCAAGTCTTTTCGCGCCTTCTCCTCTTCTTGCACCTTACAATTGCCTCCGTATACAACGCTGACAGTTCCTGAACTCAATGATCGCTCAAGGTCTCAGATGGATGGAAGCGAAGGACAGATGAATTCTGGTTGTGATGAAAATGCCAGGCTTATCTTATAGGCAATTGCTGCACCCTTTTGTCTTCCCTTTACTCGCTTTCCCGCTGATCCTTCTCCTTCCACAGCGCTTCCACTGTGTCCAGACACGAATTTCTCCGCATCTGAATGTTTTCCCGGTGTGCATGACTAAGCTGACCGTGGTCAGGTCAGGGTGAGGTTGAGTTGTATGTAAATATCATCGTTTGCTACGTACATCGGCTCAGGTGCGGTTACCATTAAAGTTGTTCTTGACTGCTACCGACTGACTGACTGACTGTCAGAAGGTGAGGGGAAGCTGCGTGTGCACATTGACTTCAAAATCTAGCGCCCTTGACCTTGACGATGCGAGCGCATCCCACGGGATGAAGATCGGAATTTTCTGAGGGATACAGAGGATACGTAGAGCGTAAGAGAGAGCTTACAATCTTCTGGTGCTAGTGCACTAGCAGCAGTAGTGCAGTCAGTTGGAGCCGAATCAAATGGCCTCACCTACCTTAAGCTTAAGGTAGAATTGAGAAGTGAAAGAGGAAATAATTATCCTCGCAGGGGACACTTCAGAAAGTGCCACTGACTTCTCATCAGAGAGCATGTCCAGGAGAGCACGTGCTATGCTAGTAAGCGGTGCTCCAAGAAGAGGTTTTCGCTGTAAGACGAGGAGATCGGTCGTAAGAACAACGAGAGTCTCGTCAGCGCCGCTGCCACCTGTAGACCATGAGGACGTCGTTCCTCACGACGACGTCCACAAGGTCGGCCTCACAGCTGCCAGCCCCTGCTTGAGCTTGGGTTATAATCCGTTGACCGGACAGCGTTCACTGCAAGTCACTGACAGTGTACGCCCAGGCCGAGGAGACAGAGGCCCTTGGGCTTTTGCTAAAACAGAGAAAGATCGATCTCAGATGACGTAGCAAATCATGGGGATGGGTACTCCGAGACAGACCTTTCCTGTTTTGTTCCGTCGCTGCTCTGATTGTGGTACCCGCCCAATGATGACGATAGATTTTGTCACGTTCCGTGTGTACCGTGCCATAGTTGAAAAATGGTCTGTTGTCTCTACGTGGATGTTCTCGGGACTAGTCTCCCTCATCGCTGTTGCTGTTACGTAGGTTTTGCATAACCTCTTACACCTCTATAACTGCAATTCCCTTTCGAAGAATTCTGGAGAGTCGAGCACAATAATTCAGTCTATGGTGTGTACAATTCTGGAGAGTCGAGCACAATAATTCAGTCTGTGGTGTGTACAGTCTACTCTACCTCGGTGCCACACATTGGGAGTAGCTAAGGTCATTGCTCTAGTGGAGGGGTTGTATTCTTTATGTCAGACCTCGATAAGTGCAAGTGAACTGGATATTTATTGAACTAGATCAGCACTTGGGTCTATATGGAAGCGTTTCGACTAAAATCTTACGTAAAATCTTTCATAGCTGAGGGTCAGCAAGATAATGAAGATTTCATGCTTTGCAAATGCATGAGGAATGCATTTGCGATTTTTACCCAATTGCTCCTAACCTTGTATCAACAATGGGATATAGTACATTGCATTTAGAGGGAGTAGATAATAGTACAAATTACGCCTGTGGAAAATAAACCACCGATAACCGTGTCGACAGCTTAATCACCGCTTCATACTCTACGCGTGCAAATAAATGCAGTAAGAAAGGTATCTTTAGTGACCCCGGGAGCATCGGGTGAGGGGAAATCTGCAATTTGCAAGTGAATTTTGTCAAGAATGACGCGGAATCTTGCCCTCATCGAAGGAAAATTCACAGTTCATATATAGAAAATATAGTGAACGAGGAGTTCCTACTGACAATAGCCGAGGGTAAGTCGTTCGTAGATCATCCATTGAAAGCTCTCCACAATGTGAATGTATGGTCTTGAATCATTTCCTCTGCTTCGAGGGCTTCTGTGTTGACCGCTCTTTAGTTATCATGCAGGAGGATCGAACCTACGTTCCCATCCTCCCTATTCTTGACAATTGATATTTTATAAAAGTCAACCCTTCTGCATGATCATGAAGGTAAAGGCAGGTAGCGCGGAGGTAGGCCAGAATTTGTACAATACGAGTTTGATGACTGTTGTGTTGGTCTTCTCCTTCAACTTTTTGTCATTTTCATTAATCCCAATTAATGATGAGGGCATCGTTGGGTTTTGTAAATGAGGATCAATTGCAATTTAAAGTTTGGATTACATGCACCAGGACATTCTCCTGATAAGCTTCAAGTAAGTGGTGATGTTAATATGTCGTTAAGTTCATCACTTCTTTGTTCACTTGCTCTAAAATGGTGGATCTAGCTTTTACCAAGATATTAGCGTTGAAGTCCTACTTTCAGGGAGCATCTCAATGCAAATGTCATACATAAATTACAAGAGAGTCAGGCCTGCACAAATATCCAAATCAGTTAGTTAAGTTGGTCTTGAAATATAAATGTTTCATCCATTTGACTAAGGTAGTCAATGATTAGCACATTGTTTCAGTGTTATTGTTTAATTAATATAATCCTTTCTTTATTTCAAATAATTCTTATGAATTTTACTTTTCTCGATTCAATTCAATTTCTACTTTGAAAAAGACACTTTGTCTTACAGGCCCTTGGACTAATGTTGTCTCCCCTGTAATGATGTATGAATACTTCTACTTTTTTGTACATTCATTGCTGCAGATTCGATGAAGGATGTATTTGATATATTCAAGTTGTAATTGCAATACATAAATGCACGTACATAAAATACTTTGGGTGCACAATTGTTGGTTTTACCTTTCTGATTCTGATGGCAATATAAGTACTATTTTTTAACGCATACAAACGTTAAATCAAAGCAAAGAATAAATGTTAAAATAATTGAATGAAGAAGTGAATTGTCCAACAAGGAAATAATTTGTCATGCAAGCAAAGTCTCAGCGTGCTAAGACTGATTGCAAATCAGACTGCAAAGTGCATTGTGCTGAAAAATTTAATGTTTAATTGAATTTTGAGATTATTTCTTGTCCAATTAAATAATTTCCAGAATAATGTATATGTACTCTGTCAAACATTATAGGTACGTTGATAAGACTACATCGTTAAAAATCCATTCTATCTTCAATATACACCACATGTCAGCTACTCTTAGATTAAATAAATCAAACGCTCTACTCAAATTAGATACTCTAGATTATTATAACTTAATATATATATATATATATATTGGCCAAGTTATAAGATATATTTTCTCAGAACTTTATACTTTATCTAAGACCTCAATACTCATCCAACCATTAGCTCTGAATGATTTCATAATAAACTCAAACATGTGATATGTTACCTCAAAAATGTAACATTTCACCATCATATGAAGTCTCGCGTCTCTTGGACCATGGGGTTCGGATTGAGGCCCTGAATATGACTCCTATCATCATATTCTTATTGAAATCCTGTGACAGAAATGCACTTCATACCTTCAATATGTGAACAAAGAGATGATTTGTTGTATAATAGTCTTCTTCAATGTAAGCTCTCTAAACATTCTAGACTATAACCTACAATTAGTAACATGAAACTACTAATCGGGTATAGATATATCATTATGATAGTCTAATATGATTTTTCGTTAATCACATGTGACATATGTAGAGAAAATTGTTTGATGTGATATATTTTAAACTCAAAATACTTGCGAAGACCCAACACGATTCATTTTACCAGATGGGACCCTCCATGCCATGCAACCCACCGTAACTTGCGAGTCCTGTAACTGCTTTGCTCGAGGTTCCAAAATCCATGTTTTTCAAGTGGATTCCGACACTCAACGATAGATTTGGATACGATGCGTCGGGAAAAGTACAATCAACTTTTATATTTTGTGTCGGAACAACGAGTCAACTCGATATGCCAAAAGTGACATTCGCAAATTTTATATTTTGGATTCATATAATCTCGCTAGAATATACTAGACAGATATTACATTATATTAAAATTATGAACTCGTGACATATCAGATTTTCAAACCTCCTCAACTAAAATTATCATTATGTTTACACTATTAAAATCATTTTTGAATTCTCTCACACTTTACAAGAACTTGTATGGAAAGTGAATGAAGGTGAACTGAAGGTCCAAGTGTTTAGAGTTCAAAAAGATTCCATCAATTACTTTTCTCGAGATGTGCACCTTTCTCTTCTAATGAGCAATACTTGTGTCTGCCCACTACCACATGCATTGAGAATACTCCATAGAGTCTTCCGTGAGTAAAGAGAAAGAGTGTATATACGTGGGAGGGCACACTCACTTTTGATATTGGAAAACTTTTCCCAGCACTTCGACAGCAGTTCAAAGGGTGAGTGCTTTGACAGCCACATATCTTTGGGCCAGTGTGATCGAAATTTGGCTCGCTTCTTCTTGATAAAGTCGTTACGTCGAACGTACGTAATTTCTTTTCTAGCAGGAAATGTATGATATTATTCAGCGTCCTCACTGTCATTGTTTAGATGAAATTAAAAACTGGGCCAAAAAAACTGATATCAGAAGATGGAGAATCAGCTCAGAATCAGATCGAGACAGACAGCTCTGTAAATTAGTTAGTTTAGTTTTTCACGCTTCCAACACTATTGGAACGCGAGAGTCTGATAAAATTTCCTCTTGATTTTCAATTATTTTGTTAATACGCTATATGGATCAGCAGTACAATGCAAATACATAGACAGGAACTTGGTTTCAGGTTAAATAAAACCTTGAAAATTGAGTGATTCACCGAATTCCGACGGATAATATGTAAGTATCAACAGGAGCTTTCTTGAAAAAGTGAAGTAATCTCGACATCTGTCGGGTTGTATTCATTGTTGTTCTGTATCACGGAAAGACTAAGTGAGGGCGGCTTCCAGTATTCATCAAAAAACATTGTGGATCTATTTACACCTCAATGAAGGACCCACGCAGTCGGAGTTCACGTCGGATTATAAGAAATCCCACAGCCGGCATTGTGTAGATACTACTGTTCTTGTATGTGTATTAAGCACGAACTCAACAGTTGTGCATCATGCGTGAAGCCATCGTTAATCTCTCCATCCGAATGCTGCAACATACACTCCGTTATTCCAGTGTCTTCACACGTTGTTCTATCAGTTCTATCAGTTCGGACAGTGCTGTGAGCAGATCTGTCGGTGCAAGGAAAATGCGAAATAACGAAACAGCACATTGGTACATCAATCCCAAAGATAATTGCTGAAGTGAGGCATGACTGTATGATGCAGTTCTGCATATACGAAGCCACTAATGTCTTCCAGTGCTGGACACTTCCCCGCCCACCTCGCTTTGAACCACCACAGCATGAATTCTATTGTACAGACTTCATCTGCTGAATGACATCTGTAGGGTGGCTTTCTTGTAATCTATTCAGGCGCCGTATAGGGCCCGGCAGTTCTGAGGTGCGAGACGCAGTTGTACTATGTATCGTTCGTCTCAGTGCAAGAATTCCGATCAGCCATTTGCTCTAGCAGAGCTGGATAATATCCAACAAGTTCAGTGATGAAGAGCGACAGACATCGGTCCAATTCCTTTGGACAGTTGGTGTAATCAGTATTCAAATGGCGGGAATGAGCAAGTCAGGTTATGCCTCAAGGCAAGCTGAACGACGATGTGAATTTATTCGAACAGACTCAGCGAAATAGATTGAGAGGGAATTGAATGTGAGATGTCGTCTCCTCATTGATCTTGAAGGGTCGCCTATGGATGGAAATCTGACAGCATAACCTCCAAACTTGTATCCATGAGCTATTTCTTATTGTGGCAGTAAACAGTTGCAGTGGACGACATGAACTCAAGTAGTCCCCCACAGAGCTCGACACCAGAGACACGAGTGTGATGCAATTAGATTTGCGAAGTGCGATGGTGGATTCGTAAAATACAATCATTTATATATATAGGACGAGCGTAAACTTTACAATTGAGTAAGCTCATTTTCCTCAGATGTCGGCGGCCAGAAACTATTTCAAATACTGATACGTAGTATCAGTACAGGTACTGATACGATAGACATCTGATTTCTACGAATGTCTATGCTGGAGCTAGCATCGAAGACGCGATTCCTCCTCTGCAAGAGCTTCCGAACACAGATGCTCGCAAAGAGTGACAAGAGGACGCTTTCGATTTAGACATGAGGAATCTCAAGCTGCAGAACATGTTTTCGAGTATTTTCGGCGAGCCTAGTTCGTCGAATGAATGCTGCTTCGAACTTCCTGGCTCCGGCAAACAGGTCCGTAATTTGCTGACTTTAGTTGTTGAGCAACCAGGATGGGATAGTCTCGGTATAGTCCAAGATTTGCACCCCGATACTTGCGGTCTGAACAACAACGAGATCGGTCAGTCAGAATTTCCAGCACTTCTCCAAAGAACGAACTCAAGAAGCAAAGAAGTCCTCGTCGTCACCATCTGGAAATTCGAAGTGTTTGCAAGTAAGCAGAAAAAATTCGTACCTTCTCTATGTCGTCCATCTTGGATGTAGAATTCGTTGGGTAGATTTCCGCCCCACAGAAGTTCTGATCTGATTGGAGTTGATCGATATCGATAGTGTGGTGTCTTATATCTGACAGATTGGCCTCGAATACTCCGTTTCTTGTAAAGTCTCGAGACTCTCTGAATTCAATCTCTCTTTCTCTCTCCCTCTCTGTCTTCCTTTCGGATCGTGTGTGGCACAGTGTGTGATGAATCGTGCTACTGGTACGTCCTCTTATATAGAGTTCAAGCTGAAGGCTCCAGAAGAAGAAGGGACAGAAGTTCTCTCAGTATCTGTCTGCAGAGCATCCTTACGCTGAGCAAGGGCATCATGGATCATGGAGTTCCCCGAAGCAGCTCTCTCTCGTCCTTGACTCTCTTGACTTTCTCTGTCTCGTAATGATTATTTACTCACTGCTACGGCTTAGGGGAACGCCCCATCAAGGAAACCAGGACATTTAGTGTCAGGAGTCAACTTTCAGGGGGGGCTTTCATTGAGCTCCTTTGACAAGTCTCTACGCATCCAGCTTGGATTGGATGGTCAAATGTCAACGCACAGAAGACCAGTACAGAAGGAAAGAGGACTGCTACACCACACACTAGCTCCATCCTAAAATGGACACCGGTCGATGTAGAAGCATCAAGTGCTGCACATGATATCGAACTATGAATCTGACCCGACATCTTTACGATCCAAGTTCAAATTCCCCCTCTTTGCTTAAGCTGAAAACTCCACCAAAAACAAAAGAACCTTTACATACAGTGTCAGTATGAATCTCGAAAAAAGGAAAGTTGAGACTATATTGAGACTGTATTAAAAGGAATCCCCGTCAGAGGGTGTCTGGAGGTCGAGGACACATGCCAGAGATTGTGCCATTTGCATCCCCTGCCTAGTCAAACGAACAAGGAGGAGGGACCGCGTTACGGTGATCAGTGTTCGCAACCGAGTAGTAGATTGGGTCAAGAACGCGGTCCGAAGCAGGTTATTTAGTTATGGAAACTGTACATTTCCTCCTACGGGAAGGGACGTGTGCATTGACTGCCATCGCCAGGACAAAAGCTGCGTTCTTTCCCCACATTCTAAATTTCGAGGGCTGACGCTCGATTTAGGCTCGGCTCGGCTCGACTCGACGGTACTGTATTGCACGGCCTAATGACTTCCGAGGGCGTTGCCTGCTCTGCACGTCCTTGCTTTTTTGGGTACGTACTCGCTCGAGGGGATCTTTCTCACCTTCTGTGCACGTCGCTTCAACTTTTGCAAGATGCATGCATTTTTGCAATTCGCTCGATTCTTCCTTCTTCTACGTGGTTTCGCATGTTATAATTTGCAAGTTTAGGCACGAATCATCCATTAATGTGGACCCTGTTTTTTGGGGCTCCAACGCTACCTACTAAGCTTGTTACCTACGCCTCCCATTGTGAATTTCATAAGTATTGTGTGAGAAATTCTAGAAGTGTTTATAGTTTAGTCTAGAATTAATCCAAACTAAGTCATAGCCAAAATGTTCAAGAGTAAATCTCAGATAGAGCTGAATTGATTGCTAGTTTACTCTTCTTGTAAGATCATACACTTTGTCTGAAGTCTTGCAATCTCATAAATCAGTACAAGAACAAGCAAACTACTACCGTTTAACAGCCTACAAACCATATCTTCTTCGTTTTTTTCACAAAATCCATAAATTGTCTCATGAAGACAAGCGAAAACATTCATTTGATACATAAAAAAATCACAGGTATACACAACAATAATTTATAAGTAAGATTCACAATTATGAAAAAAAATTACTGTATTCACATTTTTTTCCTTTTGTGAATCATTTGGCCACCAATATATTCTTGTTGATCTTTTGAAACCGTCCAGAGATTGTCTCAGTTTATCATCCACTTATCATCCATAAATTGTTGCCCTTTAAAATTTAAAAAAACTCTCAAATTTAATCGCTAATCAATGATTGCATCTTCTAAGCATTGTAGCAATTTTGTCAATTAGATGAAACAATTTTCAGAACTTTTTCATGATTGATTATGCAGAATAATGCCAAAAACATCTCTTAAAAAAAAATCTTATGGTTTGCGGTGAGTGCAATGCAATCAATTAAGATTTACTCAACAATACAACAGAAGCATCTTCAACACAACCATGAATCTCACAATTGAGACTAGAGTTAATTGTACTATATGAATGCATGTTCAGGGGAACACAAATGATTTAATAAAATTCCTAAATTTTGTTTTAGTAAATAAAAATATCAGATCTCTTACATTAAGATAGGCTAATTGGAATACACAACTATTGTAAAACCAGCTCAAAAGAGTTTTGTTAAATCATAATCATAAATAAACTCGTATTTTAAATTTTTTTTCATTTGAATGTTCTAGTAGTTTTAATTTAGATATGCATTTTTTTTACTTTAACATTATTGAATCAGTGAGGTAAAAAATTTATAATTACATAAAGTTATGATATTTTGATTTATTATATATATGATGTATATTATAGTTTGAGATTAAAAAAAATTGAACTCTAATTTGAACTAAAATTGCAAATTTGTTATTGTCAAATATCTTCTTCTTTATTTCAATATTGTATACTATAAAATCAATCACAATATGAAAAATATCAAAACAATGAAACATTTTACTCATTAGAAGAAATCTTTGAATCAAAATACATAAAATCAACTACTTTTTAATTTAAATTTTTTTCCATGATTTTTTACTAATAAAATTAACCTTAAAGTAAGAATGGTTTATATAAATGAAAAAAAACATAAATTAGGGTATATTTGTTGCAATAAATAGAAATAAAATATTTTCCAAAGGATGAAAAATTTGAGCACAAACATATCTGTATCTTAAGATTTTCTTATGTTTTGAAATTATAATACTCATAAATATTCATAAGTGAAGTAGAATCTTATTTCGTGTAAGATTGATTTAATTTTTTTAATTAATTTTTTAAAACTCAATTTATTAATATGATAAATTATTTTAATGATTTTAGTGAGTATTTTAAAATAAAGAATCATTCGCACATATAAAACTCTTCACAAAATAAAAAATCAAATTTTATCAATGAAATTCAAATTGTCTAATGTTAGAAATAAACTTCTTTAAAATTGGATCATATCATTGATTTATCATTATTTTGGTATTTTTCATGATACATTAATTTCAATGGATTTTCGAAAAAAACATTTCAAGTTTTGATAGTGAAACCAATGTTTGGTGTTTACAAATGATGTTAAATCCTTCTAAAAACTTACTCAAAAGTGACGGAAGGGACCACGATTGGCTGCAAAAGAAGGGTTTCGATTTACTTCGACCATCACACTATGGGGACAGGTGCTTTGCAGTTTTGAAGATACATTGGAGAGCCTGGACTTTCTTTTGTAAGATACAATAAACCAAAATACTGTCCATCAAGACGAGGTACTAGATCTATTTCATTATTATTAATCTTATTATTTCATAGAAAATGTATAAAAAACCAACATTAATTCTGACAAAGCTCAAAATAATCAATGTTCATGACTGCAATTTTTACGACACTATTAGAACTTTTTTTTTATGTGAAATCTGATCATTATCTCTTGCAATTATCCAAGAAATCAACATTCCTGACTTAATACTACATATTTGGCCCTGGTTTGGATTTGATCTGAAGCCATTGTATGTATGAATGTAGAAAAATATTTTCCTAGACAAGACCTGAGGTTATTTTGAAAATTTGGAGAAATTTTGTTATTTTTTATTTTTATAAAAAGCTACAGCTGCAAACTTTAAGAATTTGGGGTGGTTTCTAGGCTTTAATCATGGTATTGAACATGGCAAATTGTAAACCTGATCAACATATGACCTCTATATTCATTAGACTTCTACATAGAATCTGAAGGTTGCTAGAGCCATGTCTGCCATGTCTTTGTAATAGGAAATTGAAAAGAGTTATACAGTAGAAACCCTAGTAGGTGAGTTCATGCATGACAATGGAACCGAAATAAGTGGAATTTGCCCGGCAATTTCCCTCGTTGTCACGATTCTCATAAACTCGTCTCCATACTAGTTGGAACTGTTTTTAATCTATGGGTCATCCTAGCACTTGGAATGCAAGGGTCAGAAGCCAACCTACGACTTCATGTGAAAGTTTCGTGGGTGTTAGGCTGCCAAGGGATACTAAATACATGTTGTCGCTTAGGCAACAGAACATGTTCAGGAAAGTACCAGGAAACACTGAACTCGTCAGGTCTTTATTTGGAATGGTCCCAGCGATGTGTCGCTGCAGTCAAAACCGAGATCGAAAACTCTGCAGATCAAAGGATCGAAGTTCAAACTTTCGTGCTCTGAACAAAACAAAATGGAAACCTACTCTCGATCCTGTAAGAAAGGAAACATCAAACATGCAAAACATCAACATGCAAAAGTGAGAACTGAATCCTTTCAAATGATGATTTTCATGGTTGAAGGTTTTGTTGACAGCAATAGTGGTGTGCAGAAAGCTGACCCCACCAATAGAAATCAGTCGCACGCCCCATCCTCACCTACATGATGAAAGCTCCTCCGTGTTTCCCTATTACTCGTCGTAGAAAGTTGCAGACACTTTAGTTTAAAGCTTGTTCTGTAAGATATATTCAGGAACTAACAAGGCAATTTTCTCGAGAGCATGCATGCTTGCACTCATGATCTTAACCACAGGCATGGCCCCGCAAGACCCCGCGAAGACTTGGTTGAAACTGGAAACCCTCTGCGCTAAGTCTGACTAGTCTCCCCGGGTCAAGGACTGCCCAAGGTCCAGAAATCTCGTTCCCATCCACGTGCAACCATTCCAAATTTGTACTTAGAGTTCTGTTTACATCAGAGCTTGTTATCTGCAGACAACACGGGCGAGAGACCGGGTCCGAGACTCGAGCGTGTTCGCAGCAGGCGTCCTGGCCTTGTCTGAAGAATGTCGACAGTCCAAGGCACGCCCCAGGCTTGGGCCTCCAATCCCCTCCCCTCCCCTCCCCACCCCCGACCTTTCATCTCCTCTCGTGACTGTCAGTATATCCGCCGCCCGGCAGGAAAGTGCTTTCTTCTCTCATCCAAACCGCGTTAGACTATTCCCGCAGCAAATTCTCCGCTCTGCCCTCACACCTGCTGCAAGCCAAGGATGCAGGGGCTTCTGGGGGATTCTTATCCACTTAATGGCTGGAGGCGAGCTCTTCAT